ACATCCCAATTTGTGTGTGTCTGGCTTTATTTTGGTGACCAGACATCCCGATTTGTGTATGTCTGGCTTTGTTTTGATGACCAGACATCCCAATTTGTGTATGTCTGGCTTTGTTTTGATAGCCAGATATCCCAATTTGTGTGTGTCTGCCTTTATTTTGGTGACCAGACATCCCAATTTGTGTATGTCTGGCTTTGTTTTGGTGACCAGACATCCCAATTTGTGTATGTCTGGCTTTGTTTTGATGACCAGACAGCCCAATTTGTTTGTGCCTGGCTTTGTTTTGATGACCAGACAGCCCAATTTGTTTGTGCCTGGCTTTGTTTTGATGACCAGACATCCCAATTTGTGTATGTCTGGCTTTGTTTTGATGACCAGACATCCCAATTTGTGTATATCTGGCTTTGTTTTGATAGCCAAACATCCCAATTTGTGTATGTCTGGCTTTGTTTTGATGACCAGACATCCCAATTTGTGTGTGTCTGCCTTTATTTTGGTGACCAGACATCCCAATTTGTGTATGTCTGGCCTTGTTTTGATGGCCAGACAGTCCAATTTGTGTGTTTCTGGCTTTGTGTTGATGACCAGACAGCCCAATTTGTGTGTGTCTGGCTTTGTTTTGATGACCAGACATCCCAATTTGTGTATGTCTAGCTTTGTTTTGATGACCAGACAGCCCAATTTGTGTATGTCTGGCTTTGTTTTGATGACCAGACATCCCAATTTGTGTATGTCTGGCTTTGTTTTGATGACCAGACAGCCTAATTTGTTTGTGCCTGGCTTTGTTTTGATGGCCAAACATCCCAATTTGTGTGTGTATGCCTTTATTTTGGTGACCAGACATCCCAATTTGTGTGTGTCTGCCTTTATTTTGGTGACCAGACATCCCAATTTGTGTGTGTCTGGCTTTGTTTTGATAGCCAAACATCCCAATTTGTGTGTGTTTGGCTTTGTTTTGATAACCAGACAGCCCAATTTGTGTCTGTCTGGCATTGTGTTGATGACCAGACAGCCCATTTTGTGTATGTCTGGCTTTGTTTTGATAACCAGACAGCCCATTTTGTGTGTGTCTGGCTTTGTTCTGATGACCAGACAGCCCAATCTGTGTGTGTCTGGCTTTGTTTTGATAGCCAGACATCCCAATTTGTGTATGTCTAGCTTTGTTTTGATGACCAGACAGTCCCAATTTGTGTGTGTCTGCCTTTATTTTGGTGACCAGACATCCCAATTTGTGTATGTCTGGCCTTGTTTTGATGGCCAGACAGTCCAATTTGTGTGTTTCTGGCTTTGTTTTGATGACCAGACATCCCAATTTGTTTGTGCCTGGCTTTGTTTTGATGACCAGACAGCCTAATTTGTATATGTCTGGCTTTGTTTTGGTGACCAGACATCCCAATTTGTGTATGTCTGGCCTTGTTTTGATGACCAGACAGTCCAATTTGTGTGTTTCTGGCTTTGTTTTGATGACCAGACATCCCAATTTGTGTGTGTCTGGCTTTGTTTTGATGACCAGACAGCCGCATTTCTGTGTGTCTGGCCTTGTTTTGATCACCAGACAGCCCAATTTGTGTGTCGGCTTTGTTCTGATGACCAGACAGCCCAGTCTGCATGTGTCTGGCCATGTTTTGATGATTAAGCAGCCTTGTTTGTGTGTGTATGGCTTTGTTATGATGACCATACAGCCCAATTTGTGTGTGTATGGCCTTGTTTTGATGACCAGACAGCCCAATTTGTGTGTGTCTAGCTTTGTTTTGGTGGCCAGACACTCAAATTTGTGTATGTCTGGCTTTGTTTTGATAACCAGACAGCCTAATTTGTGTGTGTCTAGCTTTGTTTTGGTGGCCAGACACTCAAATTTGTATGTGTCTGGCTTTGTTTTGATGGCCAGACACTCAAATTTGTGTATGTCTAGCTTTGTTTTGATGATCAGACAGCCCAATTTGTGTGTGTCTGCCTTTGGTCTTCTGACCAGACAACTCAATTTGTGTGTGTGGCTTTGCATTGATGACCGGACAGCCAAAAATGTGTGTGTGTGGCCTGGTTTTGATGACCAGACATCCCAATTTGTGTGTGTCTGACCATGTTTTGATGACCGAACAACCTAGTCTGCGTGTGTCTGGCCTTGTTTTGATGACCATACACTCGAATTTGTGTGTGTGGCTTTGTTTTAATGACCAGACAGCCCAATTTATGTGTGTGTGGCTTTGTTTTAATGATCAGACAGCCCAATTTGTGTGTCTGGCTTTTTTTGTGATAAGACAGCCGAATTCGTGTTTGTCTGGCTTTTTTCTGATAACCAGATAGTCCAATTTGTGTGTGTCTAGCTTTGTTTTGATGACCAAACAGCCGCAATTCTTTGTGTCTGGCCTTGTGTGCATGTGGCTTTGTTTTGATGACCAAGCAGCCCAATTTGTGTGTGTCTGGCTTTGTTTTAATGACCAGACTGCCCATTTTGTGTATGTCTGGCTTTGTTCTGATCATCAGACAGACCAATTTGTGTGTGTCTGGCTTTGTTT